TGTGTGTGTGTGTGTGCGTGTGTATGTGTATATAAGACTAGTTTAAGTGTTTATGTAGTATGTTAGACTAGTTTAAGTGTTTATGTAGTTAATAAAGTCTTATTTGTATCACACTTGACGTTGTTCATTGTTTACTCATAACTGGCGTCCCTAATCATGCAGATTTATGCTGCAGGCTCTGTGTAGAGTTGTACAGTAAGAAAGTAATTTCCCTTAACCAGGAAATTAATGTTCTTAGAATTGACAGACAGTTGACCCTGAGAGGTCAAGTAAATATCTACAGCGAATCTAAATATTTATAATTAATTATAACTAGTTATGATTAATTATTCATATTTCCCCATGAGCTGATTCGCTACATGCTGTAGGAATCTATAAAATACTTTTATTTTTCCCAAATCCTGTCTAATCAAATGAATCGATAAAATCGATAGGCTGCATTTATTTAATAAAAAATACAGTAAAAATAGTGAAATAATATTATAATTTCAAACAGCTGTTTTCTATGTGAATATCTGTTCAAATATAATTTATTTCTGTGATCAAAGCTGTATTTTCAGCATCATTACTCCAGTCTTCAGTGTCACATGATCTTCAGAAATCATTCTAATATGCTGATTTGCTGCTCAAGAAATATTTCTGATTATTATCAATGTTGAAAACAGTTGTGCCGCACAATATTTTTGTGGAAACTGTGATACATTTTATTTTTCAGGATTCACAGATGAATAGAAAGTTTAAAAGAACAGCATTTATTTGAAATCTTTTGTAACATTAGAAATGTCTTCACTGGCACTTTTGATCCGTTTAATGCATCCTTTATAAATAAAAGTATTAATTTCTCTGGTTGTTTTCATGTGTCTCAGACTCATGAGCTGAAGGTGGACAACAATCCTGTGAACCGTCAGAAGCTCCGCGCGTCGGTTCGGATGTCGCAGTACCTGCAGTCCTGGAAAACCGTCAAACCGTTTTCTGGACTCAACCAACCAGAGGCTTCGCTCGCAGCCCCGCCCACTTCTGACAGCATCAGCCAACCACAGCCGGCCACAGTCAGTGTCAATCATGATCACTGTCCAATCATACAGAATCACGCTGAATATGGTCAACTGAAAACATAAATTAATTCCTGTCATTCTTTTATTTTCTCATCAACAGGTGCTCACAGAGTTCAACACTCCAAGGTGAAAATTAAAGGTTTATTAATTCGCATCAGTGATATAAAAGTAGTTTGCATATGTACCAAACAAAGTACTTTGAACTTAGTTTGGTTTGCTATCAAAATGCACCAAAAATGGATCGGAGCTGGCTTTTATGGCCACTTTGTGGTGGACACAGTTCGTTTTGTGGTTGACGTAAATGTGGTCTGAATTTGGTTCTCAAGTGTGAAAACTTTGTAATTCCCATTCGTTTCTTTTCTCAGATCTTCACAAGTTCTGGAAAACGGACTGATAGACTCATTAGACTCTCTGAGAAATGAAGGGTGAGCAAACAATTATGAATTCACGGTCTTCACAGTGAATGAGTCATAAAATAATATTTGCCTCAGTGTCGTCTTTTCATTGTTTAGGAAACGAGCGAAGCTGAACAGTGTGACGTTATTTTTTAATCATTTTCAGCTGGAGAAACAGGTGTGAATTATTTATTCACTTAAAAGCATGTGTTTTTTCCAGTTGATTATTATTTGCACTCTTATGTTCTAACGGTGTGTATGTTTGTGTCAGTATTCGTTAAGTGAAGTCCAGGGGCTTCATCGCTCTGTCATATGTTTGGCCTTCATCTTCATCTCTGTGTTTGTGGTTCAGATGCTGACCTCGCAAAGGTGAGTATCGTACGTTACAATAATAGGAAAATACATTTCTCTTGATTTACTTTAGTAGATGTTGCTGGTCTTATTGTGAATGGCTCATCAGTCCACGCTATTCTACAGCAGGGCTTCCCAAACTGGGGTTCATGAGTTGATGAAAATCTAATAGTTAATTAAATGATAGAAGTGTTCAAATAAAATAAAAAATTTATAAAAACAATCAAAATGAAATGCTTACAAAAACAGATTAAATATGTTATTTGTTAGCTGCATGTCGTGATCATTAAAATTACTGAAATATTACAATTTTACTAATCATTATATTATAATTATTATTATAAACCGGATAGTTCCGGTCCTTGATTCTGATTGGCTGAGCCACGTTCTAAGCTGTTGTAAATTACTCTACAAACATACACCTTTGTTTACTTTGTCTGTTGCTCGGCAACCACTTTGTTGCAACCACAACTGTTTCTGAGGAGCTACATTGTTTGGTGGAAGAATACTGTTTTTATTAATATCATTACTCTTTATTTGCTCTGTTTTATTTTGTGAAACCTTACTACGTATATGGAATAACCGTTTTATAAAAGCAATAAGCCCCGTGAAGCCGTGGTTTACAGTGAATTTATAACAGCTAAGGGGGTTTTTTAACAACGCCCCTTAGCTGTTATAAATTCACTGTAAACCACGGCTTCTTGGGGCTTATTGCTTTATTAGAATAACAATTAAAACTTAAAATCTCTAGGGGTTTAGAGATTATAATATTTTAGCTAAAAGGGTTTTGGCTAACAAAAAAGTTTGGGAATCCCTGATCTAAAAACAAAACCCTAAAATGAAAATGAAACAATTTTACAACTGTATCCTGAAAATGAAACAATTTTACAACTGTATCCTAAAAATTAAACAATTTTACAACTGTTATTTGATCTATATTGTGGCGAGGGCCAGATTTCAGTAGTAAAACTGTCTTCATGTTGATTTTAACACAATACACATTGCCTGTTATTTATTACAAACATTAAGGAAAACATTTTCTAAATTGTTTATATTTTTCTAAATTAACACGTTTTCTTTGTGCACATACAGAAATTTTGCGTTGGCGGTGTCGTACGGTGCCACTTTCCCTGTCCAAATACTGATTGTGCTTGTGGTCTTCACTAAGTTCCTGAAGGTATGACTGCTTGTCATATTTATATAAGTTTGTGTGTATATTTTAAGAAAATTCATATTAGTGGTTGACCATTGTGACTTTTTAAATAGTTAACACTTACTATTATTATGAAGAATGTGTTAATAAAAAGAACAGAAAAGGAAGTTATATAATTATTCTAAGGAGTATCTTGTGTTATTTGTTAATGTTTTAATATGTGTTTGTGTGTCAGCGCTGGCACTCTAAGTTTCCCCGCAGCATCCGCTGGGTCTCGACGCTGTTTGACGGTGTGGCCACCAGGGCGGCGCTGCGGCTGCTGCTGGTGTTTCTCTGTCTGCTCATCACGCTGCTCATGGCAGTGCTGAACATAGTGAGTCAACAGCAACGTGCTGAGAAACACCTTCACAAACATCAGCTCAGGACTGTTTGTGACTAGACAAAAGAGTCAAAGCAGCCAAAACCGCCTTTACACTGCAAAAGCGGGTTACACGCCACAGAAAGATGCTTGTAATGTTGCGCGTTCTTACAAACCAGTAGAAAGAAAACATCCAAAATACACATTTTAAGTGTTCATTATAATGCTCTTTATCTATTTGCGATATTGTGATGCATATCTTTAAAGGAGGTTTCCTTAAAACGAGTTTTATCTCCACTTCAGCAGCACTTACATACACCAAACTTAGCAGTTTTATTCCTCTCTATATTCTGAAGGATTTTACTGAGGGGTTTGTTGATATGTATTTTGCCTTGTTTTATTATTGCACTTCAATTCACAATTACAATACATATCTCTAAAGGCCTTTTTCTAAAATGAGTTTTATCTCCACTTCAGCAGCACTTACAGACACCAAACTTAGCAGTTTTATTCCTCTCTGTATTCTGAAGGATTTTACTGAAGGATTTGTTCATATATCATAGGCCTGATTTTATTATTGCACTTTATCTATTTGCATCTGTAGATTTCAATTACGATACATATCTCTAAAGGCCATTTGAGTTTTATCTCTACTTCAGCAGCACTTACAGACACCAGGTTTAGAAGTTTTATTCCTCTCTATATTCTGAAGGTTTTTACAGAGGGGTTTGCTGATATGTCTTTCGCCTGAACTTATACATTTTATTTCTAAAAACATGGCGAAAATCTTTTTTTTTGCCTATTGACAGTATTTTCTGATTTATGGAGTAATAAAAAGAGAAATCCAAAATCCCCTCTGTAAAAACCTTTAACTCTAATATGTCAACAAAATCAAACAAGAATTTTAAACTAGGCTTTATCCAGTTCACTTGCACATTTAAACATAACATTTAAAAAAACTTGTAGTTATAAATTATTTTTTTTTATTTTTAATTCAATCAATCAACTGGGAAAATATGGTGATTATTTATTAGTTATATATTATTCAAATTTTTACCCTATTCACCTGGGGTGTCTTGCCTTAAAAGTTGATAGATGTTTGATTAGTTTTTTGATGAGTTTTAGGTGAAGTAGTTAATCTAACTTTGCGAATTTAATCCTGTTAGAATCAAACATGTCTGTGTAAAAATTATTGCACAAATGTGTTACTATTGCTTATGGTTTTTTGATTAGCTTGAACATCCTCTAAGAAAGTCTATAACTGTAATATACATGTTTTATCAAAATGCATCTAATTAGTTTTGACCTTTACTGAAGAACTTTGGCTAAATTTCTCGTTGTTCTATCGACTGTCCCATAAAGATCAAATTAATTTTTTTAAAAGAAAATAAATGTCTTAATGTCTGTCTGTACAAAATCTTAAACTTTATCTGTTTGTTTTGTAGGTTTTTATCCCAGGCGATAACTGTTTAAATGTTTCCCACAATGCAACAGTACTGAACACTCTCAATCTCTACACTGTCCCGGTGAGCTTTTAGCTTATATTATAAATGGTCAATAGAGATGATAATTTGCATTCGTGTTGATGTCATATTGATCATATGTTGTGTGTGTGTGCAGTATTATCTGTACTGCTGTCTGCTGGCGATGTTGGGCGTGATTGTGTTTGTGCGTGTGAGCGTGTCTGTTAAAGTCTTCCTCCTGACCCTCGCTGTGGTGGTTTATCTCGCACTCTTCCTGCACGTTTACGCACCGCGCTCCGACTGCTACATGAAACAACTCTACAGCGGCAACAGCACGTAAGAGCCAAACACACACACACACACACACACACACACCTGATTCAGCAGGACTAGCTTTATATAAATGCAATATATAATATCCAGTGACTGAAAAGAGTTTAAAAAATGTCTTTGCTTTGACTTTGTTTCAAAATTTTTAAAGTGGACTGAAACCTACTTGAGCTGTGATAGTGTCTAAGTGATATTTAGCAAACTAATCAATTTGAAAATTATTATTTATAACATATGATAACAATATAAAATAACATTATTATTATTCATAATAATTTTCACTTACAACAACTATAATAACAACAATCGTTATTATTGGATTATTAATTTTAATTTATAACAATAACAGTTATTATTTTACATAATTCTAATCTATAATTTTAATTGTTTATAATAATAATTATTATTATTATGTATAAGTATAATAACAATATAAATAAAAACTATTATTATTGGATTACTCATTTTAGTTTATTGGATTATTCATAATTAACTCTTGTAACAACAATAATATTAACAGTTGTTATTATTTTTACTATAAAAATGAAGACAGAAATATATTACTATTTTAATAATACAATTGTACTGTAAAAATGAACATGTATTAAAAATGATAATAGCAATTTGCAATTATTTAAATTTTATTTTGATTAATTGTGCAGACCTAATTTAAATAATGTGTCACAATCAGCGGCATTAATATTTAGTATAGATGCAGTTTCATTTGCATGAATATTTAGCATAAACAATTAATTGTAAGTTTAGATTAGAATGTGTTGAAACAGATCTCTGAATATATATTAATTTCATATTGCATTAAAATTTAGTGCAATGTATTAAAATTACATGCTGCCATTTTATTTCAGCAGTGTGACGTATTTCATATAGTTAATAAGAAATTTAATGTAGGTGGGACTTAATTGATTCATGTGGATTTTTTTGGATGGAAAAAGTTTTTTTATTAAAGGCAGTTGAAAAATAAGAAGGATTAGTGATGTCAGACTTTTGATGAAAGATTATGAAGACAAACATTTTTTCTTTATTATAACGTCACTGATTTATCATCCATAATAAGAGCAGGAACATGAATCAAGAATGTAAACAGAGTCAAATATTGATTTTGTAAATTTAGTGTGTTTGACAGTCCAGATTCAGAGCCGATTCCACGTTTCTTTTGTGTTGTAACTCTAACATGTGTCCAGAAACACTGTGATTGTTGTACAATTTCAATAAATTGAGTGGAAATTAATATTTATTATATCTCACTGTCTCTGTCTGTCTCTGTGTGTGTGTGTGTGTGTGTGTGTGTGTTTTAGGCCAGGAGTTCTTAAGGAGCCCAAGATCATGTCTGGCATTTGGCTGGTCATTTTCTACTTGATTTCCCTTATTCTTGTGCGACAGGTAAGAGTGTGTGTGTGTGTATATTTGATTATGAGTATTTTAGTTTGATATGATGTATTCAGTAATGGGGAAGTTTACAAAATAATCCGCTCCAGATGACTAACTACTTCTCTAAAGGGAGTAGTTTTTGTCTTTGAATGGTGCTACTTCCTTTAGCTGTTACAGCAACTGATTCATACATTATAAATATATGACATTAGTTAAATCCTATTTACTGAAATATATCGATCTTGAACTAGTTTTAGACTTCTTGTTCTTTACGTTTTTATTTATAACTATTGTTAGAATTGCCCGACCACAGCAGGGTTATTATAGTTAACTAAAACTAAATGTATAACTACTTGAAGAAAATAATCATTATTTGAAAAAAATGTTTATGATATTTTTTTAAAAAGCTAGTCTTATTAAAGCTAGTTGCCAAGGCAACTGTCATGTGTGCCTACTGTGCTGGAGCGAGGAGACGCGGAGACATAGGAGATTCCAATAAACAGAACTTTAATGAACAGAACACCAGGAAAGCACACGTAAGACGAACAATTCCGGACTACGGAAATTCAGAAAACACAGGGTTTATATAATCGGAACGAAACAAGGAAATCAATGGGACACAGCTGGGATCAAATAAACACAATCAGGGCAGGAACAGGAAGACCAAATAAGGACATAAATTTCCTAAATAAGGACATGGAAACACATGGGGAGCAGAACACACACAAAACACAGAACAGAGTCTGACAGCAACATTTCCCATTTTCAGTTAATTTATGTTAAAGTATTAAAATAGCTAAAAGTAAATAAATGAAAACAAGTATTAAATATACATATTTTAAAAAAATAATAATAAAAATGACAAAAACACAACAAGATAACAAAAATGTAACTGAAATTAAAATGAAAACAGGAAAAATAAAATGTAATTCAAAATATTAAAATAAAAAATATATAATCTCATTTGAATATTAACAAAAACTAGTATATCAATCATACTGAATTACCATTGGACATCAGAGCCGAGATAAATTACTGTCTGGTATCCCTTTAGCTGACAGCATAAATAAATCTTTGGGTCTTAACAACCACATTTTCAAAGGAAAAATACTGGATGCCAAAATACATGAAACTGAAATAAACGAAACTAAAACGGAAAATGAATAAAAACACAATATATACATATTAAAAATAATAAAAATGACAAAAACACCAAAAAAATTAATAAATAAATATATATATATATATACTGTATATATATATGATGAATGATGATAATAAAATAACACTTTAGTTTAATACCTCAAAATAATTTTAGTAGAACGTTTCTCGATTACACATCTTTTTCATGTTTTCTTGGAAATATCATGTATGAAATGTGTCTCCCACTTGAGCAGAACTCCCGCCGTGTCACTGGAGTAATCTGAGTGTTTACTATGATGCAGGACGAGTTGGGCTCTCGGACGGAGTTCCTGCTGGAGAAGTGCTTTAATAAAGAGACGGAGGAAATGGAGACGACCAAGAACGTCAACAGACTGCTGCTGCAGAACCTTCTGCCGGAGCACGTCACAGACTTCTTCATCGGCAAAGACATCCAGAACCAGGTCAAACACTCACAGAGTTAACACTATACTTTACTAACATCTCTGAATGGATGCATGTAACACTATAATGCTACTGTAGCATATTTGATACATAAAGGCCTCTATATTTGCTGTTTCACACTCGATCTCCTGCATGTCTTCTGTCTCTGGTTGATCGATTAGAGTGTTTTATCCAGTCAGAGCTCTTTTAGTGTAACTGTAGCTGGATCTTGACTGGTTTTGATCAAGTAAAGGTCAGAATAACTGCAGTAATATCTCCAGATGAACACTTACTGGACTGAAGCAGCTCAGCTTTACTTGATTCTCCATCAATCATGTTTTAGAGTCTCAAATCTGATCCTCAGGATCTTTTGAGGAGCGTTTGTTTCCAGAAGCTTTACTTTCACTGTTCCTCAGCGGAGGAATGATCTTCACAAGCCTCCAGAACATCTCACATCTTCTGAGGAGCCTTTATTTCTTCAGCTCTCAATCACTGCATTATATGTTTGGAGCATTTCAATCTCATCTTACTGAGACAGATTACTGGAGATATAGAGTGATATTTAGATCATTTTATATCAGTATCTGCTGCACTGTTAGAAAGATCTCACTGATTTACAGCACAAGCATCAGCATTTCATTATAGAAATATAATTTGCTCAGTTTGAGTCTCTGGATAAAACTGAGCTTCTTATTCTCACTGTATCAGACTACATGAGCCATAAAAGCCTGATGATCAAATATGATGTGAGTTAGTTTTCTGTGATAGTACTGATGTGTGTGTGTGTTTCAGGACTTGTACAGTAAGTCGTGCGAGTGTGTTTGCGTGATGTTCGCGTCCGTGCCGCATTTCTTCAAGGAGTTTTACAACGAGAGCAGCGTCAACAACGACGGCCTGGAGTGCCTTCGCTTCCTCAACGAGATCATTTCAGACTTTGACGAGGTGGATGTCCGTCCGATGTCTGTTTGTCCGTCTGCCTGTGGTCTTTTTAACCCACCTGCCTCGTAATGCTCTCTTGCAGCTCCTCAACAAGCCCAAGTTCAGCGCCGTGGAAAAGATCAAGACCATCAGCAGCACCTACATGGCGGTGGCTGGACTGACCAAACCTGCCAAAACAGAGGAGAGACGGGTAAGTCGTGTGGCATGCTTAAAGGGCATGTTTTGCATGTGTAAATAGACATGCATGAGTTTTCATCTGTTTTTACCGTTCACAGACGTGCGACATGAGCTACAGTCACATCCGCAGCATGCTGGACTTCGCCATCGCTCTGATGGGGAGACTGGAGAACATCAACATGCACTCGTTCAACAGCTTCCAACTGAGGATCGGTACAACACAGACACTTATTATATACTGTAGTATATATATATATATATATATACTATTGGTCAAAAGTTCTGCTCACCAAGGCTGCATTTATCTGATAAAAATACATTAAAAATAGTGAAATATTATTATAATGTAAAATATCTGTGTTCTATGTGAATATCTGTTAAACTGTAATTTATTTCTGTGATGCGCAGCTGTATTTTCAGCATCATTACTCCAGTCTTCAGTGTCACATGATCTTCAGAAATCATAATAATATGCTGATTTGCTGCTCAAGAAACATTTCTGATTATTATCAATGTTGAAAACAGTCGTGCTGCACAATATTTTTGCGGAAACCGTGATAATCTATCATTCAAAAGTTTGGGGAAAGTTACAAAAAAATAAAGAAATTATACTTTTATTAATAAACGACGCATTAAAAGTGCCAGTAGAGACATTTATAATGTTTCAAAAGATTTCTATTTCAAATAAATGCTGTTCTTTTGAACTTTCTGTTCATCTGTGAATCCTGAAAAATAAAATGTGTAACAGTCTCCACAAAAATATTGTGCAGCACAACTGTTTTCAACATTGATAATAATCAGAAATGTTTCTCGAGCAGCAAATCAGCATATTAGAATGATTTCTGAAGATCATGTGACACTGACGACTGGAGTAATGCTGCTGAAAATTCAGAGCAATAAATTACAGTTTAACAGATATTCACATAGAAAGCAGCTGTTTTACATTAGAATAATATTTCATAATTTTTACTGTATCTTTGATCAAATAAATGCAGGTTTGGTGAGCAGCAGAGACTCTCTCTAATAAATCTAAGATTAATCTGACTGGTGTTGGGTGTTCTGTGTTGTGTTCAGGGATAAATCACGGTCCTCTGATCGCAGGCGTCATCGGCGCTCATAAACCTCAGTATGACATCTGGGGAAACACGGTTAATGTGGCCAGCCGGATGGACAGCACTGGAGTCCTGGATAAAATACAGGTGCGCGCCTCAACATCAGTCTGTCTGTGGTGTAATGCAAGGAAGCGTTTCTGCGTAAACCTCAGAAATCTGCTCTGCTCAAACAAAAAAGATGATTTATTTGCACAGGGAAATTAACAAAGCTAAAGTTAGTCTCTGACATGAGGCCTGAGCTCTCTTTGGTGAAACTGCATTTGATGTTTTAGCTTGATTTGAACCTTTAGATTTACCTTTATTGTCCATGAAAATATTCACAGGTTCGGTTTCTAGTTTCCATTTGTTCGCAAAACTTTTGTGTTCCCTGACAAATTAGCAGATATTTTGTACTACCTGAGAAATCTGCATTCGTTCACAAAACATTTTTAAGAGAACGCTTAAGTTCCCTGAGAAGCTTGAGTGGTATAAAATTAGATCAATATACTGTATGTTTCAGTGTTTTTGTGACACAAAGCTTCTCAGGGAAATGCAGAATATTTGCAACTGAATTAGGCTGAATGGATTCGAAAACGGTAAAACTCAACTGTTTAACTCTAGGGGAGCTGGAAAATTAGCCTATTTTCAAAAATAGTGGAGTGTTCCTTTAAATCATCTTGAGGCTCCATTAAAGGTTTGCTGGGGCCCTCTAGTGGGCCCCGGGCCCCTGGTTGAGAAACACCGCATTAGAGTGATCCATATGAAGTCTTCTAAACCCATATGTGACCCTGCAGCACAAAAGCAGTGTTAAGTCGCTGGGGTATATTTGTAGCAATAGCCAACAATACATTGTATGGGTCAAAATTATCCATTTTTATTTTATGCCAAAAATCATTAGGATATTAAGTAAAGATCATGTTCCATGAAGATATTTTGTCAATTTCCTACCGTAAATATATTAAAACTTAATTTTTGATTAGTAATATGCATTGCTAAGAACTTCATTTGAACAACTTTAAAGATGATTTTCTCAATATTTAGATTTTTTTGCACCCTCAGATTCCAGATTTTCAAATAGTTGTATCTCAGCCAAAAAAATTGTCCTATCCTAACAAACCATACATCAATGGAAAGCTTATTTATTCAGCTTTCAGATGATGCATAAATCTCAATTTTAAAAAAATTGACCCTTATGGCTGGTTTTGTGCTCCAGGGTCACAAATTAACAAAATAGCATGTTTGAAGTTGAATAAAAAAGTGGGAGCCTGCAGCATCATGAGTGGAAACCCGTTTGAGATGCATGCACCAGGAGTAAATGTCAACTTGTACACAAATCCAGCTCCGCGTGATCTCACTTCAGATGTATGCTGTTTGTCGTGTTCTCAGGTGACAGAGGAGACGGCGCAGGTGGCTCAAAGGCTAGGCTTCGGCGTAACTCTGAGAGGAGCGATCCACGTGAAGGGCAAAGGACAGCTGAGCACGTACTTCATCAACACCGAGCACTCAGTGCAGTGACCACAGCATCAGAGACCAGACCAGACTGACACGGTGTGATGAGTGTTTCACTGAGGTCCTCTGCGGCATCAGCCTGATAGCGCTGGCGCTACAAGAACTCAACTACTTAGCACTTAGATTTAACCAATTCTAGTACTTCTAAAAATGAAGGAAGAGGTTTTTAATTTGTGAAGTTAATCTGTTTTTTTTTTTTAAACAATGCAAAGTTGGCAGGTTTTCTAAAGTCTTTAGTTTTATATTGGATTTCTTGTATTTTCCTTAACTTGCGCACTTATTTATTAATGGTTATTAATGTGTATTTAATATTTTGTATGTTTCATGTGAAAAGTAAAAGTGTATAATATTATGTATAAAAATGTTTCTTAAAAAAAACTTGTTTGTTGTGTTTAAAATGTAAACATTTTTGTGACTACGAAAGTAGAATCTAATAAAATGTCTGACTTAAAAGTGACTCTTGATCCGTTCCAATGAATGGGTGCCATTTGCTTCCAAAACTCTTCCAAAAAAAAAAATTTTTTTTTATCTTTTCTTAAGACTGAATCTAGTAATACACATAATTAACTATTACTGGTCAATCTCAGGTAACTTTATTTAATTTTTTACACGGTTTTTAAGTGGAAGATGGATGCATTTTTCTCAGTCCTGTTACCAAAACTCTTATGTCTTTAAAAAAAAGAATGTTTAAAAATATGTCAACAAATTCCTTAATTTTCCGCACAGGCAGGTGTTTATTTTAAAGAAATTGTTGGTTTCGTTGTCAACAAAAATTATATTTATCATTAAAAAAAATCACTATTTATGTACACAAGGCGACTCAAACCTTATCATAAAGCTTATCAGTTTTCTTTGATGCAGTTTATTAAACAATGGGATAAATGATGGACCAAACTTAATTTAAAAAATAGTGGTTTAACTTTTTTTTTTTAAGAAAAAGCTATTTAGTAACAGGAATGAAACTGGGTAACAGGAATGAGTATCCATTATATGTGTATATAGGTTTGAATACACTTTGTATTGATTTTTAACACGTCTTTTGTATCTAGATTTATATGGATGTAGCCTTACATTAATAAATCAGATGACACTACTCACTCCTGTTACTGTTACTCAGTTACTATATATGAGTACAGGACATATGAGTATAAGAGTAACAGGACTGAAAGTAACAGGATTGAGATTTCAGGATAAAATTGGAAAATACATATAAATATAATATAGCCACATGGAGTACATGAGATATTATCGATTTATTTTGAAATAAATGTATTTAAAGCACAGATGGGATATGGAGATACACAAAAATGCTAAATAAAAATGACTTCTGAAGGATTTAAAACATTATATTTCTTGTTAAAATGTTGCGTTAGAGACTGGGGACATGTAATAAACGCTATGTTTTCAATGTTTTAGGTAGTTTTTTATTAATTTTTAAAATTTATGTTTTAAATGTTCAGTTAGATTAATGTGCAGGACACTTTGCTTAAAATAAAATGTATTTTATAGTTAATTCTCATGCATAATTGTACATATAATGTCCTGGGGACACAAATGCACCCCATTCGGTGGAATGGCCCTCTTACAAAGTTAGATTAGTTGATTCATATGGTACGGATATTTATATTTCGCTGTTTTTGCATTTGTTCGCAAAACTTTTGCGAAATTAACGATCGCTTGTATTTGGCGCGAAAACGCAAACGTTCCCCTGAGAGACTGTGCGATTGAAATACCAGCTGGGAGTGAATATATGTTTATATAGTATTCCAGTGATTTTATATATTTCAATGTTTTTGCTAGCCAACGCAAAGTTTCTCTCAAACGTTTATGAAATATCATTTTTCCACTCATCTCATCTTTTCACATCACTGTCCTTACTTTCCTAATTTTTGTTTATAAATGTCGTTTCAAATCCAACTATCTTGAAAAAAATATAGATATAGTCTAAGATAAGTGTATTTACCCTTGAATTCTCGGAAGATGAGCAAAATATCCGTCAGAAGAAAAAACTCATTTCTAAAAACCGCAACAGTGGAATTTCCCTCCGAGCGAAGCCCCGCCCACCCGCCGTTCAGAGAGCGTTCGCGGCCCAAACATTCCCTCTCTCTGATTGGTCCACGCAGCCGTCCGTCATCTCGCTTCCTGCTTTGGTGAAAGTGAGGCATTATTGTGTTTTTATCGGAGCGCATTAGTGTCGCACTTTTAAACCGAGGTGATGACTTTATCGGTAAGTTAACGTCTGTTGTCTGTGTTTCAGCGTGTTTGAAATCAAAACGATTTTTACAACCCAGATCAAACCGCCAGATGCGGTTCAGCAGGTTTGATGAAGCAGGAAATGTTTTTTGGTTCACTTTGCGCGTAGTTTCCCAGTTTGAAACTAAGCGAATTCGATTCGAACTTAGTTTTCATTGGTTACTAATACTGTTTTATTGAGTTTATCGTGTTATCCCCTGCTACACTGAAGTGTTACTGTCTCTTACACCCGCAGGTCCATCACCATGTCCGGCGACGCACATCACAGTAGAAGGCGACGCTCCCCCAAAATGTACATGGTCGCGTCCGACTACAGAGTGCAGGACCACCTGGAAGGAACCATTCGCCTGCAGCGGGGGCAGCTCTGTCAGCAGCAGGAGGGAGGAGCGCACAGGAGCGGGAGAGGAGATTACCTGTGGGTGAAGGTGAGAGACTTTATCTGTAATTATCAGCTGGGAGTCCATTTGTGGTGTCAGTGTCACGTGTTTATGTTCTCATAGCTCATGACAAGTTCTTAAAGCGACATTACCCTTTATTCCTCACAGGTGATCGATAATGGCTGCGTGGTGAAGGTGGACAAACAGGTGCTCAATGAAGTCCCGGCCGAGTTCGCCGGTCTGCTCGAACCCGTCCCTGACCTGGACATCCGTGTCAAACTGCTGTCCAGGACGCAGTTCCTGCAGCGAATGGCCGCTTTAGCGCTGGGGTCAGAGGTGCGGGTCATCTGGAGCCGCAGCCAATCAGAGCTCGCCGAGGCGGAGCTTCGTTACCGCGGGCCGCTGACGAGGGGAAGCTCCGCCATTCATTTCGGGGTTCAGCTAAAAGTGAGTTTGGATGTCACGTGTGAACAATAGACATTTTCTCAATCTTGTTTTCCAGTTATAATATAGATAAAATATATCTCTATATTTTAATATATAGATATTATATAGACATTTACTTCGGAAGCAAAATTGCGTGAGATAGAACATATACATATTTTTCATCTCATCACTTTGGCAATTATTAATAATAATACATTTAGTAAAATATATTAGTTTGTTGTTTATTGGAAACAAGACAGGACATTTTTAAAAGTAGCAAAAAGAAATAATGAATTATAATTAAATATTTAATATTTATAAAATATTATTATTGTTACGTAATTTAATTAAAAATAACTCATTGCTTATATATAATGACAAATAAAAAATTTATTATTACTTTACTTTTAGTCATTTAGCAGACGCTTTTATCCAAAGCGACTTACAAATAAAAAAAAAAGTAATTAAAACTAAAAGCTAAAACTCTATAAATACTATATATATATATACACACACATTTAAGAAAATAAAAGAAATTAAGAGAAAGGAAAAATTGAAATCGCATCATATGACCCCTTTAAGAACAAATCATGGGAGCCTGTTTTACAGCCCAATTGTTTGGTATTTTAAGATCAACAGTCTTTATGGTTATGACTGTGTACACAAAGTATGGCAAGACTTCATCAGAAGAACAGTAGACTAAAACTGAAAGTGAGGGATAGGGACCATTGAACAATAACAATTACAACACAGAACTACAGGATCAAAGTGACAGCAAACCTCATTATTCTCTTTAAAAACCCTGACTCCGTGAAAAAAAGAATCCACAGAGAATTTCACAAAAAGTTCAATCACCTCACTTGAACATTATCCAACTA